GGATGACTCTCCCAAGATCATGGGATTGAGTTAAGATTACAGATGTTACTGGATTGGATTCCAACCTACAAAGTGCTGGCTGAAGTGTGAGGAGAGAAAGACACGAAGAGCTAGGTCTCACAACGTGAATTATAGTATGAAGCCAAAATCTCATATGAGGGCAAGAAAGATGTGTAGGACAAGTTGTTTACATCTTGTGTTTCATGCCGCGAAAAATGTCCCTTCATCCAAGCATCGCAATTATGGTGACAGATAAAGTATCACAGTGTCCAATCCATCCTACGAAGTATTGTAGGCTGGGTAGCGTTTCTTGATGTATATATACCGGTGTTTATGAACTGATGCTTTGGGATATCTCCTAGAGATATCGATTTCAACCATGAAGATTGTGTTTAAACATTACGCTTACGGGTGAGAAACTACGCATATAAGCGCATTATCCATTAGCATCATGATGACTAGGAAATTCTGAAAAATGGGTGGCATTCCTATACTTCAATAATGAGATACGGAGGGATGAGATAGGAGAATTTCCTCAAACCCACGCCGTCTCCAATTAGTACTTGGACGCCATCTTTAACTTTCAACAACGATAGTGTTTCCTTGGTGGTGAGGGTAAGATTGAAAATATAAAACCGATCGTACTCGTCGCCTCATTGTGTCCCAGACAATGCGATTTGGAATCTTGTCTGGAGAACGAGAGTTAGATGAGAACATAGCTTGTGTCTTCATGTCGCTTCTTTTTTGAAGTGCATTCTAAATGTCAAAAATGTCAAAATTTCAAAATGTCATAATGACTTCAAGATGGAAACGTGTAGTGCATTTGCAAGTAAAACTACTGGATACTGGCTAGAGTTCTCCTCCCTGAACAAAAACGCTTGAGTTGCAGTCACCCTATTGACGTAGTCGACTTGATGTTCCCATCTTCTCACCAATCGCTTAAATTCCTCCCACCAACTCATAGGTATTTCTTGCGTTCGCATTGATACAGGTGTAACTGCCGCCCATTCTATCGCTGCTTTGAATTACAATACTCAAATATCTTCCCACTCTTTTCACACTCCTTACGAGGTTTAAATTTGCTATCGAGTTCGAATCCACAACACTAGCAACACTAGTCCACATCCTACATATTTTCGGCCTTGTTCTTACAAGTGAACCGGTGTAACGCCCATCCTCTCTGTCTGTGCTCTTCACTACAATACCTGGTCATTTCATCCCCCTCTCCACAACATCTAATGAATTTTGCTCCTCCGATTCCACAATAGTCGCACCATAGAAAATTTGGATTTTGGTCATTCGCTATCCATCTATGAAAGGCTCTTAGTGAATGATTATAAAACCAATTCCAAGTCTCCACAGAATACTTTTCTCGACTCTCTGTCAAACTGGGTAGATGTGTTTCGTCAAATATTTTAAAATCTTCACAAACATTGACGTCCATAAAACTTTGCCACTGCCTACCATTGCCCAGAAAGTAAGGCTCCTCAAATAAACCCTTCTTACCATGTCGCATATGTAGCATATCAACCACAAAGCAATCATCCAAATCGACAAAAACTTTCTCGCCGTTACTCGATGGTCCCGTATTTATCGGTGGAGGGAAGACCAGAACGCTTCCTATGTAACTTTCCCACATCAGTGTTTGGAAGACACCATTTGGCTTTTCATGTTTCCCGTTGAGATTTCGATGTCTCGGACGGTACAACATAAATCTCATTAAGTGTATGCCAGAGGCATCCACCAAAACTGGTTGTTCATCGCTGATTTGAATTTTCACTTGTTGATCTTTCCCACAAAAACTGAAGAAAAGCTGAAACATAGTCTCACATCCAGGACCCCAATCTGCACTCCGAGACTCATAGAATGCGCGCTCAAGCTGCGCAGAATTTAGCCGTTGTGTTTCAGGAGGTGCTTCAGGGTGTACTCTGCAGGTAGTTTGTCGCCATTTTTGTTGATCTTGTGGGTAAGGACTGTCGTCGTAGCAGAAACATCGCGCTCCCTCTGTATACACTGTGTTAAACTTTTCGATTTTTTCTCTACTTTCCTTTTCTGAGCTATGGTAAAGACTGAAATTCTCATATCGACTATCCGAGGTTACGCGCTCGTAGTTGAGGAGGGTGATCAAAGTTCTTAGGGGAATTGGTCGCGATGCGATAGACATTAGTTCAGGCTTTGATAGGTGCAAGTTCGGGCCTGCTCTGGGAGGGCCCAAAACTGGAGGGGCTGATGTCGCAGGAGTTGATTCTAGAGAGCTTGCCCTTAGAGGGTTTGATCCTAGAGGGCTTGGTCCTAAAATTCTCATGATTTGCAATGTTGGTCCTGCAAGTTTCGAATTGAATTTTTTTGAACTTGTTGGTCCCATGATTATGAATGTCTCGAAATACAAAAGAATATATAAAGTTAATTTTCAAATGATCCAGAAGTTAAATAGAGCGATACACGCGAATGAAGACCAAAAATAACGAACGTGTTGTGGTTAAGAGATGATTGAAAAGGAAGACGGAAGAGTGTAGAAATGTAACCAATGTATAGTTGAGTGAAGAAAGAACGACAAGCAAGAAACATCACCGAACTTGATCGTAAAGGAAGGAGCAAATATCTCCTTCCTGTAATCCAGACTAGCTTCCAGAGCTTTGAAACGCATTTGATGTTCGAAATCAACAATTTTGAGGCAAAAGATATAGTCTTATGGCAGTAAAGAGAACGGTCCATAATCTACTTTCAATTAAAAAATAATCCTAATGTGTATTTCCAAGCGAACCCGTTTTCTACCTGATATTGCCATTCTCGCTTATCAATCTTCACTCACTCCCTCATTAACCAACCACGCAACCTCTCCAACCTGTTCACAACAACTCCCAAGTGCGTGCCCAAAGTACCCGGGAATGATAACAATACCATCATCTTAACCTACACCCTCCCCGTAACCACCGCCTCCCTCCGTCCCCTCCCCGCCCCCACACTAACCTCCACCAAAACCATCGTCTTCCCCCCCAGCACCTCCGTAACCGTCGTGTACGGCACCAACAACCCCTTCGTCACCAAACAATTCAGCACCTCCGACTGCTCCAGCGCTTCACAAGCCTTCTTATCTTCCTCGAAACCACGCTTTCCGTTCCCGTGACGAAGAATCGATGAAGTGAGTGTAGACGACCTTGTGGTAATTGTTTGGAATGTTTGCGGTAGCGCTGAATACACTTGTGAAATGACGGAATCGGTTGCAAATGTATTGATACTCCGAGCAGTAACGGTAACCGTAGCCACAGTATAGTAAATCGTAGAAGCGGGAATAATCACCGTAGTTGTGGGAGTGAGGAATATTTCGCTCCAGCTTGGATCCTGAAGTTATGAATGAGTATTAGGACTTGCAAATTTTCGATAAGCAACGGAAATTGATGATTAATCTACTTACTGCAGTAATCGAAGGCGCGGGAGCTAGGATTTGAGAAGTCACTGCGGCCTGGGTGTTGGTGGGATTGGTGAGATATGTAGCGATGTTGAATCCTTCCTGTCCCAACGGACCTAAATTGCGTGCGGGAAGTTTCGCTCCAGATGCCGTACCGGCATCCATGGGCTCATCGAGTATAATTGTAGGCGATGATTTATCGGAAGGAATAGTAGATAGAGATCTTGGAAAGAAAGGGTTGGAATCTACTGCTGTGGGAGGAGAAATAGTTTGTTCTGCCGCGCCATCATATTCCGAGTCATTTTGAAGACCGACGGTTGTTTGTTGCAATACTAATGCTGTGCAAGAGTAGGTGAGAATGCTTAAGATGGCGAGAGAGTGTGCTAGGGTGATATGCATGGCTAATAGATGGTTATCAAGCTGAGTGTATAATGGAGTGATCAAAGGAGATGGTATATTATAGTACTGATCCGATGAGAAAGATAGCTGTTTGATTTTGAAATCGAGAAGTTAATGCTGAGGGGAAGATATATACATATTTATATCACGAATATCACACCCAGAGAAACCATAATTACATAACCATTCCAGATGCAAACCAAAACCCAAAACCCACCGCAGCGCAGCGCCATCGACGAAAAGTACGCAGTCTCCAACCAAGCCATTTCTCACTCAGACTATTCATAGATCTCCACCATACCATCCCCAGACACAAGAAGCCCCACATCTTAAACCCAATATCTCCCATCCCAGCAAACCAACTCTCATAGCCTTCCGCATTAACAGTGTGTTTAGAGAACCATTGAGAGACGTTACAAAAATAACATACAAACAGCTTTCACACGCGCCTCCAACATACATTTACCATTATCCCAAACTCGCAAAATTATCGAACGGCCCCCCCCCAGATACATCCGAAATGAAAGAGGCGGAGTAGTTACGTATTAACATGCGAGATTTGAGACACGATATATTTGCAACTGTTGGTTGTGCAAACCTTGTCTACGAACTAAATTGTTGGCACCAGCTACCTAGTACCTGCCCAGAACCTAAGCGAGCACTCACAATTAACTACCTAGGTACCTATGCCCTCATTCCGACATAGTAACAGGGAAAAAGTGAAGGCGGTGTCTTTGAATGGTATACGGTGATGAGGATGAACACAAGATAATACATAATCATCACGTTCGAAGCGGATCGTATGAATAGATGGAAACATGACATGATCTATTCATCTGTAATGCTCAGACGTAAGAACAAAACAAGGAAACTGTGAATGGAAAGCAAGAAGAGTACTGGCGAGTGACGCGCGTTTAGGCAGCAGGGCTATCGCACGAAGGTACATACTATGCAAAAATTTAGTCTGGAGAACATGTTGAGATTGTTTTGACGGACTGTTTTCCTTCACTTCACAAGTCGCGCGATGATTATTTATGACATGAAGCAGCACCGATATTGTACATCTAAATATCTTTGGTATTTGTTGAATTCCCGATCTGGCCAAAGTAGCCAGATTCAAAAGGCCGCGCTATGTTTGTACCTAATCTAAAAGTTTGCTAAAGTTTGAGTTTACTTCTAAATTTCAAAAATCTCAGTTGTAATCTCTGTTAGAGTCACTTGCAAAGTTATGTAAACTATCAAAAGTCAGTGTGTTGTCCAGAGTAAGGTATTGATAGAGAGTAAAAATACCTGATATCTTGACGATCTCTGACCGAAGGTGTGCTAGACTCGCTAGACTCTAGCTTGGGCCTCGCATTGCCATTGTCATTTCCATTTCCATTGCCGACCTGATCTTGGCTGACATCGGGAACTACCTGACCCTTTGAATCTACTACTGCTCCCTGGCTGATGAGATTGAATTCTTTTTCTCCTGCTACGCCATGGATGACAGCTTCTTTCGCACTCTCCAAAACCTTCATCTTACGAGTTTCACCTCGAATTTGTTCCAAGTGCTCGAAATAACCATCTTGAACCGGTGTTACATAAGTACCACAGAAAACACCAACTTCAAATTCTTGTGTCTTTGGATCGCGAGGAGAAAGTTCTGCACATGCTGCCTTCAAATCCTCCAATGACTGGTAGATGACTTCGTCCGCACCGATATGTTCAGCAATTGCATATCTATCACGGTTATGTGCGACAAGTTCTTGAGGTGATGCAAGATCAATACCGTAAATGTGAGCGTGGGTAATGGGTGGGGCAGAGGAAGCAAATATGACCTTCTTTGCACCTGCCTCACGGGCCATCAATACAATCTCCCTACTGGTCGTTCCACGAACGATACTGTCGTCAACTAAGAGAACTGTACGTCCCGCAAATTCAGACTCCATTGCACTAAGCTTGCGGCGAACAGACTTTTGACGAGCACCTTGTCCGGGCATAATGAAAGTGCGGAAGACATAGCGATTCTTGATGAATCCTTCGCAGTAAGGTATCTTGAGACGTTTCGAAACACTTTGAGCTGATGTATTGGATGTTTCAGGAATTGGAATAACGACATCGATCTCTTTAACTGCCTCAGGGCCGAGAACCTTGCTAATTGTATCGGCAAGTTTATTTCCCATAGCTTGTCGACTTCTATGAACACTGATTCCATCGATGATAGAATCAGGTCTAGCAAAGTAAACATACTCGAAGATATCTGGAGCATAGTTCTTTTGTGGAACAATTTGTCTGAAGTGAGGCTCTGAGCCCTTTCTGATGATGACGGCCTGTCCAGGAAGAATGTCAACGAGATCGCTGAATCCAAGTTGCTTTAAAGCAACTGATTCAGAAGCCATCATATAATCCTTAGCTCCTGTTTCGGTTGATCGAGAACCCAAGATGAGGGGACGAATGCCGTGTGGGTCGCGGAAACCGAGGATGCCGAATCCAGCCAACATTGCTGTGCATGCCCAACCTCCAACACATCTGCCATACATTCTTTCCAAGCTCTTGAAGATATCTTCTTCATTGACACGGGCCTTTCCAGTCTCATTGAGCTCATTGGCAAAGATGTTGAGCATTAGCTCACTATCGCTGTCGGTATTGATATGTCTATGAGCTTCGAAATCGAGGAAGCGCTTGAGCTCTGGAGCGTTGATCAAGTTTCCGTTGTGCGCAAAGGTAATTCCATAAGGACTGTTGACATAGAAAGGTTGAGCTTCGGCACTAGCACTGCTTCCAGCTGTGGGGTATCTCAAGTGACCGATGCCCATGAAACCGGGAAGATCCTGAATGCGAGATCCATCTTGGAACACTCTTGAAGCCATGCCGTTGCCCTTGCATTGATAGATTCGACCTCCAGCGGCACATGTAGCGATTCCGCAGGCATCTTGTCCTCTGTGTTGCAAATAGTAAAGAGCTTCGTGTATTTGCGACGCCGCTGTGATTGAATTGGGGTCGTCATATGCGGCCAAGATTAAACCGAGAATTCCGCACATTTTGTACGAGTCTTATGGAGTAATTATTTGGATTCTGTGTCGACTTTATTAGTTCCGTTACTGATAAGGAATTAAAGTCAGATTTGAGTGTATTTAAATTCAAACAACTTGGATTCGCGGAATCCTGCTTATGAGTGTAACAACTCGTACTTTTCGCCGAAATAAGTTCAGGAGGTTCGTCGTGGTGTAACTCATAGAAGAGTACGTGACGTAAAAATTCGCGGAACTTGCAAGGGAAGGAGAACGAACTTACTTTTAGGACTCTTTCAATATGACTCTTTTGGAGAAAAGTTGAAACCGGATAATTGTTTTGTAAGTCGAATTTCAAGTGGAAGATATACAATCAACCCAAACGGAGTTGATGGTGACTGAAAGGTCGAAAATTGAGCAGATATCTGCGAACAGAAGATAACTTTGACGACATTTTGAAGGTTTAGGTTTTTTTTTTCTCCCACATCCCACCTTGATAATAAATTTAGACTGGACCGAAGAAGATCCTACGTCCGTTTAAGCAGGCGGTGAATGATTACATAATGGGCAGAATTCGAGATGAGGGTCTTGGCATGTTACACCCCAGGACGGGCGGCTCTCTCTTCTCGTCCTGTGTGGTCCGAATAATGGGGATGGAGGGGAACTGGGGGGGAAAGAAATTATATAACAGTCGTTGGTTTTTCAATGCGCTCTTGATATGGTAGGTGATGGAATGATATTGAGGGTAATCATTGCTTCTGTCTACTTTTCTCTACTTCTCTCTGTCTCTCAATCTCTACAGATTCCGTTTTCCTGAGTTTATATCATTCATTTTATCATGCAAAGGCTTTGTCATTCTTAAGGTTTGAAAGGTTGTTGGTTTTCATTGAAATGCCACGTTTTCATTGGTCGATCTTTAACCCCACCACGTGCGACTCATGAGGACCCACTTCTATCGATAGGACAATGATAATCAACCCTTGCAATTGTTACCATTACGACTAAATATCACTCAACATTCACGGCATGCTTCATCAAGCTAGGTAGTCATGAATACTGGATCATTTGAACTATCTGTATAGTATGATGATCGACCGCATGGGAAGAATGTGCCGTCCTCAGACAATCGGGCCGGGCCAAACAATTGATCTGATTATCTCTCAGGACAACGGCGGGCAGTTCTGCTTTTCAACAGACAATCGTACAGTTGACGTGCCAGCTGAACTGCAGCTGCTGGCAATGGCAGTTTGGAGTACCTGGTCTCGTAATGGGTGATGTGGCACCGTGAGCTCTCCAGTAAAGCCAACATCAAAACCGAGTTGCTCACTGAACGATCCTTGAACTTTGGTCTTTGGATTGTGGACCAGGGATTCTACCTTCTCGAATATCCAGATCCAAAGCCTCACTCACATCCAATCCAACATCTTCGAATGGCCTCTCATTATTTTCATCACTTGTCAATGACTCAGCGGTTTTGTCTCTGGCTTCCCTAAATCTGCATCAGCATCACCGATACAGTCAACGTTGATCCATAAGCTACTTACCGAAGTTTCTCCCGCTTCCACAATGTTCTGATCGCAAACGCCGTCAGAATAAGAATGAACGAAAGTACACTAATGGTGATAAACCCCTTTCGATACTGCGGAGCATCAACTTGTTGCCAAACAATCAATGGCAACCAAGCTTGAAGAACATAAGCCATCTCATTCATGGTCGCAATAACTATTGCCCGTTCCTCATTATCTTTATTGCAGATTTCATGCGCCCATCTGGGCACTTGTTAGTATCTTAAAATATAAATGAGCACGTGGAAACTTACGCCATGCAAAGACCAGAAAGGCCAAACCCGGAGCCCATGAGATAGTAACAAGCCCATTTCCATCCAATCGGTATGTCCCATATCGCGAGAGAAACATAACATATGATGTTCACAACTCCACCAAACATAATTGGTGGCCAGCGTTTTCCGTTCAAGATGGTATCTGAAATCCACGCATACGCAAGGGTGGTCACGATTTGCACTGCCGAAGTGCCTGTCGGGTACGTGTTTATTTGGCCCACTGTATACTTAGGATTTTTCGAGCTTTTGAGAAATTGGGAGAAAACTGGTATCGCTCCGCTCACCCCATTGTTGAAAGTTCTGAATGGATGTCAGCTGGATCTACGTTGCTTTGAACTACTCGAGTCTTACACATATAAGAGGGTAAGAGCATATATATGCCAAGATGAGAAAATCTTTGTTATCTTTGCTTTGGTATACGGCTTTCTTTGTTCCCGACCTTCCAATTCCATGCGTTTCTTACCATAGTCCAGTTCCTATTGAAGCATTAGCAAGGAAAACCAACGAGCTGGTTGATCACAAACCTCTTTAGAGAAGTACCACGCCTTAGCAATTTCTGGGACATCTGGGAGGATGAAATATCCTGCTATGGCGATGGGAAGGGAGATGACGCCATCAATTATAAACAGCCTATGTATCGGTTAGTCACCGTTACAGCAGGCTGACGATAATACCCTTCGATTTTCTTACCATTGCCAACCTTTTAGACCACCTCGACCACCGAGATGGTACACGGAAGCCATCAGATATCCAGAAAACATTGACCCAAGTGCACCTGTAGCATGGAATATACACGACCTTTTAGCCAACTCGTCTTTTCTGTACCATGATCCGATAATGTACTGCATTCCCGGATAGAAACCACTCTCAGCCAGACCAATCAAAAAGCGTAATGCATATATTTGCGATACGTTATTACACCGCGACATACACATTGTCAGGATTGTCCAGACTACCTGCGAGACTTTAGCTACCATACTCAACTATCATCAATAGGGATTGGGTACATACTTCAATGGTAGGAATCCATATAGACGGGCGTACTCGAGTGAGTATAATGTTACTAGGAATCTCACCGATTACATATCCTGCAGTCCATGTTGCGACCATGTAATTGAGTTGGTTTCCATACAAGCCTAGATCCTCTTTCATTCCCGAGACAAATGCATTGTTTATGTTTTGCTGATCCAAATTCTTAATGAAATATCCTACATTATTTATTAGTCAAAACTGGGAAGTCTTTTCATTATGAAAATGCCAGGTGCATTGGCAATGGACAACAAAACTTACCCAGAGAAGCGAACGTCAACACTGCCAAATCAAGCTTGAACAGAAACCGTCTTTCTTGAGGGGATTTATCTAAACTATCCCATATATAACTAGTCCACGTTCTCTTCGTTTCCTCTTTGATGACTGAGCTCGACACTTCTTCTGAGCTGGAATTTTCGATCACGTGGTCATGTACAATCAAGTTATTTTTGGTGGAAGTCATCTTCAATATGGAAAGAATTGATAGAGTGACGACAAATATTCGCTCTACATGATAGAAGTACTGTTGATTTATGTAAATTATCTCATATCAAATTTGCGGAACTACACCCTCGAAAGTTCGGGCTGCTAATATTTCGATATAATCCTTGCCATTGACACCATCGACCACCTAGTATTTATAACCCTACGTTGGTCGGCATATCTACCATGTACATTGCTAAACATTTCTCCGAAAGGTTTTCTGTAATTGTTGCGATTTATGTTGTGGGCAAAACTTCAATGTACCCCTCATGACGTGCTCCATGCATGGGCTGCGTGATGATAGATAAGATATTTGATGCACTTTATTGGTGAGGTTTTGATGTCAGCCATATTCACTCACAACAACATATCATGAAGGAGTTGGTATCTGATCTTGTTCAAGCTATAGTAATTGACGAGGCGAAATATGGTGAAAGTTGTACTTATCTTGTCGCGAATGTCGGGACTTCCGACTTCCCTGTGGAATCAAGCATCATTTGCTAGAATTGCAAGAATTTCGCAACATAAAAATTGGAAAGATATCTAGACTTCATCGGCGGGTCTCCTTTCTCGGAGACCCCAGCTTAAGAAGAATAATTTTAACGTTGTATATTGCAAATGAGGCACGCCAGTAACATTGATCGAGTTTCTTTTCACTTCGCATTCTCTGGTGTTAATTTGGTCTAGTATTATTTCCAGTGCCTTGGTGATATTAAAAGCAAATTTTCACTCTGATTATTTTATAGAACGCTGATTCTAACAATGCAAGCATCTAAACATATTGTGGTGGATTTTGGGCCTCATTTTCGCACCACAGCTGCTCTGTACTGTCCTGCATCAACACCAGAACTTCCCTGAAGAAGGATCCTAAGTAATAACCAAATTGAAACAGAAATGAATAGTGTCTTTTACAACGAATGGTCATTACGGTTCAAATATTATCAAATCATCACATTTCAAGACCAGCACAACATACAGCGGAAACATACTGCTTCCTCGAAAAGCTGTCGTTGTGCTTATATTTTACTTGTATTCCTCCAGGCTGTAGTGTATTTCATCAGTTAATATACTGATGATCTTGGGTGAGTCGAAGATTCTCATTATGATTTACAAAATTCGAATCAAGCCAGTTCCGAACTACGTAGGAATATATCATCACTACAATTCATCGGACGCATGCCAAATGAATCCCTAAGATAAAGTCCCCATCTAGCTATCAATCTAGATAAAGTCCAAATATTAATGAAGCCCGTGTTACTCCCTCGGAGTGTGTGGTTGGTACTTCTTCATCTCTTTCTGGAGTTCAAAAGATCGAGCTGATGGAAGAGATTGCGAGGATTGTGGGGCTGCCGTGTGTCTTTTATCCTTGGAAAGCCTCAGAATTATCAGTGCAAGGAAGCCCAATAGTCTAGCTGGAGAGAGCTGCAACAGTGCAATCAAACGCTTCGAAAACTAACAAGTATCAACGAAAACTAAAGGAAGCAAAATTACCAAGTAGAGAGACCCCTCGACGCAGATTGAGCTGGCCCTAGACCGAGCAACATACTTTTACTATCCAGCACTATGTTAGGATATGCCGGATCTATATCATCACCGTCATTATAGAATATTAATTAGAGAATAAATTTAGGACTATCGTAGCTCTCTATCAACTATCATTGTGATATTCCCGTCTAGCAACTAATCAAGGATTATTTTATCTCAACTGGTCGTGGGAAAATGTGGACTATGTAACCATTATTACTGTGTACTCTGGATAGTTTCGACATAGATGTTTTGTATCCTGACTAGGAAGCTTAGCTCGCTAAGTGTTTTCAAGTTTTCAATTGCGGCACAGTCGTCGCTTCAAATCTCAATAGTTTGGTTTGTGTTCAGCGTCCCTTGACCTCAGATCACTAGATTTATGATCGTATTTATTTCCTGGCGAGGGCATGAGAATTTGGCGCGGGGACTTGATTGGAATCTTGGGGTTTTGGTGCTTGTTTATCTTGTGAATGGGAGGGAGGGGGTAGAATGTACGAGCCATTCTCCTTTTTGTCGCTTCTCATAACCCTAGATCAAGTCTCATTCAAAACCTCTACCTTATTAATATTCTTACCGGGTATCGTGTCTCAAAGTATAAATAACGTAAGTCTAGGTTCTGACCTACTATATAAACATGGTATCGGGACCTCGATAGCCGGGTGGCTTGTTACGGCACAGAAGCTTATAGGTACTCGTCGAGAATAGCATATTCGTGGCTTAAAGCAGGCATTCCTAGTCATTTAATTTTGATAGCGTATGTTCTGTTTATTTTGTTTGAAAGTTGGTGATTCTGTTGATGGGTGGCTCAGAATAGTATGCACATGCATAATTTTTTGCGGCGATGTGATTGAGAACTACATATAATATTTTGAATTTCTTTATGCCTGTTGCATGTTTGAGATTCAGTGCAAGATTTGGGAAGCTTTCAAGGTATTGATTATTTGTTCTCATTTAATACTCATTCTTTACTTGCTTTAACAGTGCTCTCTTAAAATCACTTCATCTTCTCTACCTTTGAAATTGTTTATAAGAAGAATCCTTCATTGCCAATTCAACATCTAATTTATCTTTTATTTCTCAATACAACATCCCTTCCCCCTTAATTCACTAGAAGACTCAACATGCATTTCACTAAATTTACTACCACCTGCATCTTGATAATTATGAGCGTCTCCGCTATCGTAATCCCTCAAGCGGCTACCGCAAGCGATCCCCAGACTATCGTAAGCGAGTGGAATGACAGTATCAAACTACGCTCCCCTCCCTTCTCCAAAGTATCAAAAGCATACCTCATCTAACCATTCTCTCAAACGCAAAATCCCAAACAGATACCGGCGGTTTCAACCATCATCTTTTCATCTCCATCGCAAATACCAAACCAGATGCTCAAGGACACAATCTCGTCCAAAGCGCATTTAGCGGGATTAATGAGAAGTTGAGGAATCTTATTGCGCTTAATTCAGAGCTTGACGTTTGAGGCGAAGGCGCAATAGTTTTTTCGCGCGTTGGAGAGGATCTGGTGTTTTGGTTGTTTGAATGGGGTTTTGAGGGCTTGGAGGACGGCGGGAATTGGGGGTGTGGTTCTGGGTGAACTTAAGGCTTGTGGGTTTGATGGTGTGAAAGGAGGGTTTCTGCTCCGGGGGTGTCAGTTGGGGGTTTTTAGCTGCGGGGATTTTGGGCTTGGGGGTTGGTGCTTTGGGTGTGAGAGATGGATGTGGTTGGAGGTGAGTTTGGGAGTCGGGGAGGAGTGATTTTTTGTTGTGTTTGGTCATTAGTGATTGTGTATTGGATGCTTGTGAGCAAGTGAATACGTTGGAGAATTTTGGTCTTTTTGCTTCTCGGTTGGTGTTATGCAGTGTCACTCAGTTTACGGATAGAACTTGGGTTTTCCTTTTGGCGGCAGATCTTCTTGTATAAAATTTGCACAATCAAAATAAAGATTTACCTCATTCATTTTCACTTCAACTGAAAAGCTAGCATAAATTCTCTGACAGTGTCAATTTCTCTTCACCTTGCATGGTAATGATTCTAGATTCTGATACTTTCTGGAAATATACAGCTCAAACCTCAAATAGTCAGCATCTGCAGATGCAAACGCGATTCAACTGCTCAAATTTGGCTGCTATATTTTCTGCCTAGTACTATCTGGAAGTTGGGACACCAGGGAGATACTAGAGCTAAGATGTATCTAAATCGCAACACTGAATATGTAGCGAATGTCAGACTTTTGACGTCGATACTTTACTTGATTTTGACAGCTAACGAGATAGTAATGTCTTGTATGAGCACTGATTGAGTAGGTAATTATGTATCATGAATAGAAAAAGTGATTGCTTTTGTCAATTCACTTGTTTTCTAGCCCTAATTACGCATCGTAATTGGGTTTCTTCTGAAAAGATGAAAGCGAAAGCACTATTTGAGGGCATCTAAATATGCTCTAAGAGAAAACAAGTATAATGCCGATGATGAGAATATTAATATCACAACAAGGAAATGGCTTTATACAGCACGGAAACTTAGGTTAGCTAAGACAGCTTCTTTCTTGGTTTACTCATTATTTCTTGAGATCATATAGTGTTTACTAGTTGGATGCAAAGTGACTAGCGTCGGCAACATGAGAATAGGTAGAACAAGAATGAATTATTTTCAGAGTGGGTAGTCATTCAAACTCTATGAGATGAACCACTGGAGTACCGAAAGTTTTGTGAGTCGCAGTACTGCGGTACACTCAGCTTATTTGCACCGCAGCAAATGAGAACAGATCAGCATGTTCCAAGATAGTTTGACTATGATTGATCACTGAAAGTGTTTAGTGCTTGTCATCATCAAAAATATGATTTAGACGGTATTTTGAGTGTAGCCTTTGCATTTCTATAAAAGATTCTCCCGACTGGTGGGCATTTGATTTAGTATAAAGAAGAACATACATCTCTGGATTTTTGTCCGCGTTCTAGTAGTGCTTCTGAATTACTCGCCCCAATACTTCGAACTCCCTTGAGCTCTACTTCTTTAGGAGACCACGTGCATTGTCGCTTCGGTTGCAGCAATTGACAAGACCAACCATACTTTGCTTACCAAGACTAGCATATACATGATAATTAGCAATATGAGACTCAACAGACTTGTCATCTCCTTGATTTTTGTCCTATCACCCGCTGTTTCGGCAGATCTATTTGGTACCATAAATCAATGGCGAGGAGCAGCCATTGTAAGTTTCACCAAAACTTCAAGCACTACTTGCTATAATGCTAACTATTACTGCTCTCCCTAGAACCTCAATAACCTTATGGACGACGCCACCGATGACTCCCGTTTCTCTAACAAAGGCCTCATTGACTTTTTCAAGAACACAACATTACAAAATACCATTTTCGTCAACGGAATCAACATCGAAGTACAGCAACGTAAAGCCCTCATCGAACTTGTGAGCAACAACGAAGATTCCACATTCCCGCTACAATTTGGTTCGGAGCTTATCGAACGACTTACTCAAGAAGTCAACGAGACACTTTTCAGTGTCAACAATATCTCTAGTGACGATCCGGACTTTGAAGATGATTTATTGCAGAACTATATCGCCCCTGTTAATCTTATAAGATGCAATCAGTTGATGCCTGCTATAGGAGCATTCTGGAATCAGACGGCAGAGATTTTGGGCGTAGAGCAGGAGCAGGATCTTCCGGGTCTTCTTGTTTGTGAGACCTTCGACACTTCTACATTTAGCTATCCTATTGGCTAAATTAAGTATAGAGGAGAGATGTGAAGACTTGGATTGAATTTGCTCTACAATTTGTTGATACCCGATGAAACTTTGTTCGATGATCAGGTTCTGAGATTTGTTGATAGACAGTAATATGTAGTAATTTCGAATTTCGATGCATCGAATTGACTCATTTTCAGACTGGCGCTTGTTGAAGATGCTATTTAAGAAGGTTAACTTGCTGGATGGGCATTTCGAGAATAAAATTGATATTTCTGCAGGTGAATAATAAATTTAGCTGATATATAGAACATATCTTCGGTCTTATAAGTTCTATAATACAGTTGCCTGGTCACTTGATCAGCATGCGAGCGCTGCAGGATCCCTTAGAAAACAACCTATACACTACATTACGATGGACGAAAGTACCGATTACGTAACTGGAAACTATTGTTTTAGCTCATTGGATGTATGCGGTCAATATAGCTCAATTAGGCAATTCGCGTGTCAAAGTTAGTATATAATATAAAAAGAGTGGTGTGTATAGTTTGGGCCTTGAACCGGACTAAGACTTTTGATACGATAGTTCGTACATTTTCATATATTACTATATTTCATACTACTAGGGATATACCGAAAGACTAGAAACGGAATTGAACCGTTGGGAAAGTATTGAAAGAAGCTTGTAAGTTGTATAGACCTGAAATCTTGACAAAGAATTGGAGCGCATAAAGTTTTAGGAATTCGATGCATTCGGACTCGTTTCAACATTCCAGTCTAGATTCAGTGAGGCTAGCATTTCACACAGCACCTAAATCACATGAGATACGACAAATCATCCATTGCCGTATTATGCCTTGGCTTAGCCAAATTCTCTTTATGAACTTGCTACCCATTAACATTCTACGACTTTTGATAATAACCTCTACTTATCTAAAAGCTACTTTCAATCTCAACACAGATTAACACATCAAAAATTACTTTATTAACATCCACAAATACGACGAATAACAAATGTCTTTTCCAACTGGCACAGCAGAGGCAACATGCCCAAGAGAAACACAAGAGGAAAGAAGAGCTCGAATTCGCATGGAGAAAAGGAGAAATCCAATCCTACTTTCCCCGGCATGTGGCGGTGTTCACTGGAACGAGCCTATTGAGAGACACAGTATCGCGGAAGAAATTCTTATTATTGTTCAGTTTCAGCTTCTTCAAGGCCTGTCTGTGCTCGACATATCCTCACGGACTGGGAAAGTATGGCTCGCTACACTTGAATACATTTCGACTATCCAAGGCTGCTCTGTAAAATACTGGGGAACAGAGACAGCTCAAGGTCAAGAATCAATCTGTTTACTCGTTGAATCAAAGAATGCGAGGCAATGGAGTATATTTCAGCAGAGTCTTGGGGTAACTTTGATGCGGTCAGAAATGTCCAGCCAACTCCATCCAACCAATAGGTGCTCACGCATTAGTCTACCCAATCATGTAGAGCAAGTGAACAAACTAGAGGTCCTTATGTTCAAGTTCGATAGTGAGGTCTTCAAACGAGCTGTGGACAAAGTGCGCGAGATTTTGAAAATTTGGAAAGAAAGATGGAGACAAGGAGGAATAGAAGCATCAGGTAACTGGCTGGAGGATGATGGCCATCCATACGTGGCAGAGTGGGCAGATCTAATACCTGTAGCTATGGACAGCCAAGATAAGATTCTTATGATACTAGCCTGGAATTGGGACGAAAAATCAGTGAATATTACGGAGGACGACACGAGAAATTCGAAGGCGGAATTCAATGCAGAACTAGCAACTATAGGCGCAAAAGAGGTTGCAATAAATGAGTTCTTGCTTTCCGAGTCGGCCCAAAACAAATTCAGAATAAAAAAGAACAAGCAATACGTCAATACCAAGCCTCAATTCAATGTTGACTGCCTGGCTTCATTGCTGCGGGTTTCCCCTTTGCGAATTCATAGCGAGACATCTTCTGGGACGAGCTACAAAAACAAGCACACCGAATCAATTTACGATGCAGCAGTGGGTAGACGTCAATTTCCTGGGCCGAGCGGAGGCTATTTGAAGATGGGAGATTTTTATACAAATATGCGTTCCAGTCCAGGAAATGGTTTGCCAAACAAACTAGATCATTGCCCAGATACAGAACTTCTATGGCTGAGATTTGAACCCGGAGTAAATCATGCTAAAAAGACTATTTTAGAGAGACTCTTACAACTCAGAAAAGAGATCGATATTTATGTTGGATACCGTGCTCCTCTCTATTGGGGCCGATCTGTGCATGATCCGGATGAGTGGATTTTGATGATAGGTTAGTTTGCCCCTCTTAACTTGATCTGATATCTAAAGATATACCAGCTGACTTGGAAGCTAAATAGATTGGAATAAAAGCAAAGATCCTTACAAAGAAGGTCCTGACCCCGTCGACATCACTTCGGAGACGAAGATTGTTCAAGATCTTGTAAAAGATTTTGTCTTTCTAACCGCCGCTGTTACAAAGGAGTCCAAAACTTTCAAAGTCGGGTTTCCTTATCTCTCAAACCCCCGCAGAAAAGGGTTTCCCATAATGGAAGTCACGAGGTTTGAAGTATCGAACGATCCACGAACGCAGGCCTTCTTTCAAAGATCTTATGAGTTATTCACAACGTAAGCTTTCTATTCACTATCTCCCTCGTCAGATTCTCAACTTTCTCATAGAAATTCTTATATTTAAACTGAATAGCTAACCATTTGACCAATAGAGGTAACATGGGCCAGGAACAAACGTGGGTGAGGTTGCTTCGCGAAAACTCACCAGATGCTGCTTCTCTTCCAGCTAATGGTTCTCTTCCAATCAATTCAGCCGGTCGACATGTAAATCATTTTTTTCACGAGTACCCACCATCAACTCCCTCTTCGAGTGCTGAGGCCGAGGAAACCCATATTCCAAAGAAGTCGTATTTTAGCGCAATAAACAATGTGGAGGTCCCTAGAGGCAATGAAGGAATGGTATACGGACTATGCTAGTCAATGTGGAAATTACGAAGAACTGGGTCATAAAGTTGACAAATTGCGAATGCTTTGCGATGACATTGAGCTAGTCGATTCAAAAGTTTTCGACATGATCGGGGATTGTTATGAAGCTTCAAAGGCACCGATGCCAACTTCGTGGTCAACAACTGGCATTCGGTGATATTACCGACAAGAATCGTTATTTTCATCGGGAAAAAAACATGTAGAGAATGATTCTTCAATTTCATAAAGTTTATTGCATGTCTTTTCTAAAATCTATGTATAATGGACTTGATTTATTTTTGATAACTCTTCTTAGAAGGTTATTGAAGATCTCAATGAAGTTTACATTTGTATTTAATTCTCACACAAATTCACCATAAGCTTTTCAGTTTTTTAATATTAATCGAGTAATTTGGAAATCTAAAATCCTTGAATTTGATTTATATCTACATCAAGATAATATTTGGAATTCACAGTCTAAGTCACTGGCGAAATTAGTCGTGGATTGATGTGTTATTCTATTCTTCCATGTAGAATAATCTTTACATGTAAGCAACTATACCTATCTAAAGTACTATTCTACGGACAGTATAAATAAAACGGTAGCTAGAGCTTCTTTTGCTGAATTAGAATCTACGCTGCTCTAATTCCATATGATCATATTTTGGCAATGCTTGTCCGGTATACCACGTGTAGGTGTCTAGAAACATGGCAGTAGCAAAAAAAGCAAAGCTGTCTGGTACTCAGAAATAGTCAGTATTCTTGTAAATGATTTTTAGGGCAGAGTATAGAAGAGCTCTCATGAGATTATCATACCAGCGTTCCAAATTACCGCTTTCACTGGCCTTGATCGGCCAACTAGACACTTACTCCACGAGTATGCATTATCACCTAAATGGAATTAACCACTGATACAAACGGAGCATATAAATAAATACACACCTTTTTTATAACCACCAACTAGGGACAAGGCATGCGAAAACTCGTGAAGAAGTAAAAAATGTTGCTTGTTTGTGAGGCAAGACCTTCGAGAGGATCTGATTTGGTAAGAGTTTTGTCTTTAATAGAGGCAAGTGTAGTCTTAAATTGGGCACGACTGGTCGCCAGAGGGCATATAGCGATGATACTGGCGAGGGTATTTTGGTTCTTGACCATTAAGTCGGAAGAAATGCTAAAGGTGAATCCTTCAAGGGTGGGATGTTTCTGACAAACTTTTTGATTTGAATCCATCCAAAGTTATTACCAGATTTGTCATAATAGTAATCAGCTATGTCTTTTTAGCAAGTCAACTGACTTATGTCATGTTGTTGACAATGAAAACATGAGAAGAATGGGATGTTTCAAATCTATGGATTTAAATAGCTGGGAGAAATATTGGCGACTTACTTCCATCATTGCCAGTTGCATTCCCGTAGTCCTCATCATCGTCATTTTTCTCATTTGCCCAATCATCGTTGCAAGTGACATCTAGATTTTGGGTGGCTATGTTACCACTGCATTGTACATGAGGCTAGCAAAATCTAAAAAGCAGTAGGTAAGCGAGTGATGATCTCATGGAATAATCCACAAGGTTTTTCCTAATCACCTAGATAATCATTCAAGATGTCAACAGCGGTTGGCTCTGCCTCACGATTTGTTGACTCAACTTTCCTGTCAGTTCAGAGCAATCTTCCGTAAAGAACACAAAGGTATCAAGAGTAGAATAATTAGTATCATCAAGACCTTCGAAAATGTCGAAGCCTGGAGTTTCAAGTTGAAAGATAAGGTCCTCGAGTCTTACTATAGTTCGCGCAAGCTAATACTTCATTGGTCAGAAAGGCTGTATCGTCTCACATAATCCGAATCACTTACAACTTGCGGAATTTCTGCTATTGCGGTATTGATCGCGTCAGTGTGCTCCAGATTACAGTCATTGATTCTGAATTGTCGAAGTAGTCGCGGTTTGAGAGAGGTGCCATTAGTAGCAACGGAAGAGGTTTCAGGATAGATAGGCAACGGTTAAACGATAAGGGCATCGCCATAAGACATCTGGCAAGCAACATTTTTAGGATTGAGAGAATCATTTGAATGACGGTAGTTATGGCGTGTCATGGGGACATTTTTGTCCAAAACGATTTTAGATGATAATGATTAGATCATTTATATTATTCTATTATTCTATTATTCTGTTATTTTATAAAGGGAAAGAATTAGAGATTAAAAGAACAGTAATAATAATTTTTTGGCTGTAATTTAATTTAAAATTAGAATTAGAATTAGAATTAATAGTACTTTATCTTATAATTACTATTATTATTATTAGTAATTTTCAACCGGGCCATATAGACAAGCCTCCCAGGGGGCATTACGGTTGGGCTAACTGTAGGATGATCTTCTAGTTTATATGATCCCCTTTTTTTAGGGATAGAATTTCAATACCCTCAATAACCTCCTAAACAATAGCTAATATATTTGTACTTTTATTGTTACGTAAGCGGACACAATAGGAGTTGTAAGCTTTACCACTACGCCACACACGCAATCTGTCCAAAAGGCACAGTATCAGGGATTGTTTCCTGATAGCTTACTACTATATATATATCCATATAACAGTGTTAGTGTAAGTCTTATTAGCGTAATCTTCATATCTCTAAATGGATTAAATAACTAGAGCTTTCAATTTTGTTAGGATGATATTAAATCGGTTTGTAATCTCATTGGCCTTTAGAAATTCGTATTTGTATTAATATAATAGGTTTAGGGGAACAAATGAAAAAGGCTTAATATCGAGGCATAAATAAAAACCATAATTAATGAAAAATGAGAATACGCCGATAGTCTTTGAAATAATATTATTAAGCACAAACTCTGCAAATGGAAGCCAATCGTATCAGTTATCTTAATGGAAGTTTATAAAAGCCTAAAGATATTATTCTACTATAGCATTAATCCTCTCTGTTTGTCCATTGGACTCAGGATGGAATGAAAAGGATTGTTTCAAAGTGATCAATAGATACTCAAATAAATGCTTCCAGAATTCTGATATAAATTGTAAACCTTTATCGAATATTATATTATCAGGTGCACCATATAGGCAGTAGACTTTTTCGACAAACCGATCAGTAAGCTCCTCTGCAGATAGTCCTATAACCGGATGAAATGATGCATTTTCATTAGACAACAGACAACTATAACAATATATTGATACTTTTTGCTATAGCGTTTGCTAATTAATAGCGGTGTAATATAATCAATGGAAATATCGGACCAAAGGCGGAATAGTACTAGCAGGGGTTCTAGGAATCCGAATGCAGCAAGATGGGAGGCTTTGGTTCGGAAGCAGAGTTGACAGGCTTGTACGTAAGTTTCGATTTCCCTTGATATATTAAACCATTAATATATACAAAAAATGAGATTAATAATTTTAATTCGATTGGAATATTCTGCCGGACCAATAAAGTGCATTTGGTATATAATCTGGGTGCAAAGCTCTACAGAAAGGGAAATAAAGAGGTGGTTGTGATAGAAAATTTTATTATTAATTAATTTATAATCTTGAAAAACGATTTGAAGATCTTTTCAAATTGATAGCGGTCAATAGCAAGCAATTGGATTCTGAAGTGTTTTATATATAGTAGTGACCAATTCGGATAATTCGTATACTTTATTAATAAGATTATCAATCAGCTTCTCAATATCAGGGATAATTATACCTATAGACACCACAATGAGGTCGATATTGTTATTTGTTTGTTGGATAAAGTTTTTAAATACAGTAATATCAAATACTCTTTTTGAAAGAACTGTTTATAAGCGATTTTTGATTTGATCATCATTAGGATTAGTGTATACAAAACGATCTTCTACTTTCCTATTTAATATATTGAGGCGAATTGCTTTAAGACTTGGTCTGTATATAATACAAAAGTTGAAACTAATTAGAAATTCAGTTTATTTAACTTGTCTTTAATTTAATATCTTTATTGATATAAAGTACTCTAGATTTTTATAATCAATAATAATCTCAAACAGCTTTGAATTTTATATAGTTCGGATCTTTATTCTTTTAAGAACTTGATAATAGCTAGTAGTTTTTTATTATAAATTTTGTAGTTATATTTGACAGTGCTATATTTTGAAAAAAAGTATGCAATTGAGTATAATCGGCCCTCATTGTTATATTGAAAGAATACTCCGTTTGTAGTTCAATCGAAAACATTTGTCTCAACAACTATGCGGTAATGATAATCAAATATTACAAGAATTAAAACAAAGGTAAAGGTATGCTTCAGATTTTCAAAAGTATTCTCTTGATTAGCAATCCAATTTTATATATTCTCTTTTTTTAGTAGGTGATTTAAAAGTTCCGTGATTTTAGAAAAATTGTGAATAAAGTATTGGTAAAAGTTAGCAAACCTTAAAAAGTATTGGAGGTCTTTTAACTTAATTAACAACTTTTATTCGAGGATAATCTTAATCTTATCAGGATTCATCTTAATACTATCAGGAATAATAATCAGGCTGAAATACTTTGTTTTCCTTATTTCGAACTTATATTTATCAATATCAATTTGTAATCCAATATTAATAAGTTTTTGAATAACTTTACAAACTTATTTTCAATAATCTATAATATTCTCAGAATAGATTAAGATATTATCTAGATATATTATATAATTCTTATTTAGAAAATTAAAAAGAATATAATTAATATAATTCTAAAACAAGATAGGAGTATTGTAAAGGCTGAAAGGCATCATCAGGGATTCGAATAAGCTGAAATAAATTGTAAAAGCAGTTTTCCATTTGTAACCTTCCGCGATTTGTAGTTTATTGAATATAGCAATTATCACGGAGGTAATAGCTATGTCTAATGGTCACTTTGATCAGGAGATAGGTATATAGAGTGATAATAAACTAGATTGACTTGAGGTGTGATCATAAGGATCATACCTGCTTTATATACCCTGATCAGGCGATGGAGTCGCCTAATTAGGTATATAGGGTACACAAATGAACTGAGTGAAATAGTTTTAGTAATCATGGGAATGAGTACTCCGGAGGAGTACTAGGATTAACACCGTAGGGTTACACTATACGGTGAATTCCGTGACACACCCCCCAGATCGCTCGGTGCTTTGATGGTTACACTGAGGGATCTGCATAGCAAACAAAGGAAAATTTTTTCTGGCCGTGAGCGGCGTAAGCGTTGGTGAGCGCCTTGTTCGGGTAGTTGCTGTGATTTTACCTGCCGGGCAGGCTTATTCATCAGATAAAGGAGCGTGAGGCGTATAAAGCGTATGATTTTTCAAGAAAAGAAAAGAGTGAGTTGTATCGTTGATCAGGAAAGCCTGTGAGAAAGTGACGATATTCGAGTGAGGGAATTAATCCTTCGGATTGTTGCATATCAGGAGGCTTGAGTCATTTTGATTGTTATGCGGTTGAGTGTTTGTATCAATTGATTCGATCGATCCGCGCATACGACGCTCTGTGGCGGAGATGGAATTGAGTGGAATTCGATGGATTTTGAGAGAACTTAGTGGATCGATATGATTATAAGAGGGAGACAGTTCCCCTTCCTTAGATTCATATTCGATAATTCCAATACGTTCTTTCATCATGCCTTCTCCTGTCAGAGAGTCCCCGGCCTTTATTGATCTTGTTGATCGATATACAACCGCCTCCCCGCATACCTCACCGAAGGGTGACATTCAATCTGGTGGATCTAATGCTCAGCGTTCTCCTGGTCAGTTATTGCCTGCAGCTGAGGTTCGATCGCCCTCCAACAAACAGTTTTCACGGACAAGACCATCCTTTGGTGAACATCACCAAGATCTCGATGATAGCTTTCTGAAGAAGGTTGAAGCTGTTCGAGATCGCCGGGCTGATGCAAACAAAGGTCGTACAGTGATAACTCCCGCGGATCGTGGTAATCCTTTTGTCGATA